AAAATAAAAGGTGTAGTAACAGAAATGTGGATAATCATCCTCAAACACCTTTGTGCCCTCTCCCTGCCTGGCTGGTAGTCCATCATTTTTCTGACCCTCTCCACTTGCTCTTCATATTCTTTTTTTATTTTTTTAAGATTTTTTTAAAGATTTTATTTCTTTATTTGAGATAGAGAGCAAGAGAGAATACGAGGTTGGGGGGAGGGTGAGGAAGGGCAGAGGGAGAGAGAGAAGCAGGCTCTCCACTGAGCAGGGAGCTCAACCGGGGGCTTGATCCCAGGACCCTGGGATCATGACCTGAGCCGAAGGCAGACGCTTAACCGACCGAGCCACCCAGGCGCCCCGTGCTCTTCATATTCTTGATGAAAGACATTCTCTCTTTTCTAAACTTGGAGCCATGAGACATGCTCTTGCATGGTAGTGGGAAGCATGAGTTCTAGTCCTACCTCTCCCATTTTCCCACTGTCTGTGTGTAAATCCTCACCCTCCATAGACCTTAATTTCCCCCACCTATTCAATGGGAAGATAAGGCTCTCCGTGTTGCTCCATGAAGGCAGGGATGATGTCAGGTTCATGTCAGTATCTCCAGCTTCTAAGACAGTTCAGGCACATAGTAGGCACTGAGCAAAAAGTTTGTTGAGTGAAAAAAATCCATGACCATTGCTTGAGACTCTCGCAATCTCACTATAACTAGTCAGCCCAAGGTCTCTGAATCTCCTCTATTGTCAACTTGATTTTAAGCTTCCTTTGTAATTGTCTCCAACATTGCTCACAAGGACTTTCTAAGCATTTGGGCAATAATTCCCGAGAGCTGCATTGGTTGCATCAGGCCCTGCAAGCTTCCAACTGCTTGGAGTTCAGACAGAGGGGTACCATCTGAGAAAGGCAGACGTCACATCTAGGTCCTGGCATGCTGTGTCATCCTGGTTTCTGGGGGTGGTCTTCCCAAGGGACCCATCAGCCTCTTTTAGCATCTTCCTCCAACAAGCACACTGTGAGGGGACCAGAACCCTCAGCCTCTGTCTAGGAGACCCTGGTATGTATCTTTAAGGAAAACAGTTCAAGCCCAGGCACAGGAAGTCATCCCCTAAAATAATCCCTGGCCCCCAAGTTGTCTAAAGACCTGGACCAGAGTCCCAGGCCTCAGTCTGCTGTCATTCGCTCTTTGAGACCTGGGCAAGTTTGTCATGGTGCCTCTGCCCGGCTCCCCTCCCAGAGCTGGTGGAGGTGGCAGAAAGCACAGATGAGGGGCGTTCCAGTTCCTCATAGGGGCTGTGCTCCTTCTCTTTTCTGGGTAACTCCTCTGCACAGAGCCTTCCACAACCACCACCACCCCACCCCACCACCACCACCACCACAGTCACGCTCTCTGAGGTCTGCCCTGACACCCTGCCTGGACTCATTCCATTGTCTCCATCAGGCCCTCCAAACACCTTGTGCGCTCCCGCCTTACAGCTTGCTGATTATCATCGCCCCTCCCACGGTCTCCACCAGCCCACTGGGCCCTGTTCACCATTTGATCCTCTGCCCACCATGCTCTTTGGCACCGAAGTAGTAAATAAGGACTGGATGGATAACCACAGTGGGTGAGCGAGTGAAGAAATGAAGAAATGTGTGGACGAATGAATTATTAACTGCTCTACAATCTTAGTTTTTTGGATAACTTACCTCAAATTTCCCTGGAGGGTTGGTGAGGGTTTTTTTTACAGCACCTGTTAAAAAAAAAAAGCTCGAATTGCTTGTTGTTGCAGTTGTAAATTCCTGCCGGGTTTTCCTGGTGTGCTTCCAAAGACTGAAAACAAGTACTGACACCCTGTCCTCCGGCGCCCTCCCTGGCCCCCACCACCCTGCGACCCACTGCCCCCCTCACTCTCTCTATTGCTCTCCACATTCTCTGTGTCTGTCTCTCCCCGCACTCTCTCTCTCTTCTCTGTCTCTCTCTGTCTCTGTCTCTCTGTCTCTTTTTCCATCTTTGTCTCTCTCTTTCTCTGTCTCTATCTCTGTCTCTCTCTGTCTCTCTCTCTGTCTCATGCATTCCCCACCATTCCCCTGCCCTCCCCATCCTGACCAGGTCCTCGTTCTTCCACATACTAGCTGTGCAACCCTGCTAAAGGTACATGACGAACCTCTCTGAGCCTTGGCTTCCTTACCAGCAAACCGAGGTGAAGAGACCCCACTCAGAGCATTGCAAGGATTAAATGAGATAATGTTTGGAGGTGCTTAGCACACACCGTGGGGAATCACAGTAACCGTGGGCTCTCTCGTTCCAACCCGTTCTACCGTGGTGATTGTTTCTGTGTCATCTGCAGACACTGTTAGTACCCGAAATCTTCACCGGACATGATAAACAGCTCTGGACTGAGTGTTCCCCCCACCCCAAGGATGGTTTCAGACTCTTCCTCCTCCAAATCAGCGACCATCCAGAGCCCCGTTTCCTCTGTCTCTGACTCACTGGTCTTTTGTGCCCACCTTCATTTGCCCGCAGAATCTGTGTGGATGGGGGCATCCCCAAACCTGGCCTCCCCCAAAAATCATCTGAGGAGCTTTTAGCACTTGTGAACACCCACGGTGAGTCCAGGAGAGTCAGATTCCTTAGGTCGGGGGTGTGCTTGGGCATGGGTATTTGCAGACATCTGGACTGACTGTTTGGAGGCCAGGCACCCGAACTTCTAATCTGAGTGGATGCTCAGGGGACAATGAATGAATGAATGAATGCTAGCATTTTCCTACAGGCCTGTACTCTGGACTCTAAGATGTGTGCCCATTTGTCCCACGGGCTTTCAGAGCAGGAAACCTGAGCTGCTCCCCGCACCCCCCCTTGTTTCCTGTGCTTCCCCGGGTCTCACTCCCCACCTGTAACCTGCCCTGTGCCTATTGCTCCCTGTTCTGCCCGCCTCCCCCACTCCCTTTCCAGTTTCCCACCTGACTCCCATTAGCTCCTACTTTCCTCCTGTGCTCCCTCAGCCAAACACCACCTCCCACTGAGACATTTGCAAACTGGGGGGGCCTTTCCTTGTCCCAAGACACTTGTGTGAGAAGAGGCTTTGGACACAATAGTTACACAAAACAGATTTATTGAATGAACCTCAGTGACTAACAGGGTCAGAAAAAAAGTAGCAGAGACGTTCCAAAGAAGGGGCTGGTAGGGGATGAGGGAGCCTCCGCCCTCTCTCCGGGGCCACCGATGAGTTCCAGGTAAGAGGTCTCTGGGGTCACCGTGGAGGGCCTCAGAAGGGCGCCCACTTCCCTTCTTGAGGCTTCCTCTAGCCTTAACCGCATGCGTTGAGGAGAGCCCTGGGCTGAGAAAGGGAGTCTGTGGAAGATTCTGGCCTGTGAGGAGGAGACTAAGCTGAGACGGGCCTCTTCCTCTGCTCCCAGAGCGGGTGCCATCCCAGCGGTGGCCAAGCTCTCCATTGACACCAAGCTAGGCTTTTCCTGCCTCCACGGCGCAAACCTTGTCCTTCACGTCCTGTCCGGAGTCCTCCAAGAACAAAACCTGGAATATACACACCCCTGCCCCCAGCTCACAAAGGCCCACCATCAATTTTGTCCTTGAGGCCTCGCTGGTGGCGTGAAGTCAGGCCCTCAGCCCTGCTGCACCATGCCCTGCCCCCCCAGCCCAGCAGGAGAGGCCAAGGGGTCCCATCCTGATGATGACCCACCCAGTGCTTTTCACCCAGGCAAGAAGGCGGCCTCCTTAGGGAGAGGGCCACAGACCCTGGAAAAAGGGAGAGTGGCAAGGAACACACTCATAAACTCAGAGCAGGGTGGGGGAGGCAGGCGGGGAAGGGGCCAAGGGAAGCTCTTACCCACCTCCTGCTTCCCTCATGGAACTAAGAAGGATGGGACCCAGCACATTGGGTTTCCCCAGGCCTTGGAGACAGATCTCCCCAGAGGGGCCCCAGCATTAGCATAGACTTCTCTCTTAAAGCACGGACCAGCCGTCAGAGCCCCCAAATCCAGTGGGGGCGGGGTGGACTCATTTTATTCTGTATTGTCTCAATATGTCCCTCTTCCCCCAAGGATATTGTGTGAAGAGTGGAGAAGCGGTAGACAGTAAGGGGGTCGTTCACACAAGGGATGAGTGACGCTCATCCATGCATACCCACACACACACACACACACACACACACACACATAATTCTCGACACCCAGCAGCACCCGGTGCTCCAGGAAAGTGTCCTGTGTGGGGATGCCAGGCTGTGGTGCGGAGGCCTGCAGCTCACAGTTCTGGAGGAGGCTGGAGGGGTGAGGAATCGGAGAGGGAAGCCAAGCAGCATGTAGACTAAATACGGACTCCCTTCTTCCTCGATGTTCCCTTCCCGACTCCCTGCTCCTATAATGACACCCAGGAGCCGGCCATCCCTTCACCAACCCCGTAGCCTTCCAATTGCCACAGGGAATAGAGGCTGAAGAGAGGGTCTGAGGAAATCTGCAAAAAGCACATCTAGTGGGCATCAGGGAGGGGCTGCAGGAGGGAAGGCCCCCTTCTGGGATCCTTAGTGCCTGAAAGGACAGTGAACTGATCCAGTTTGCAGGAAAGTTCCACAGCTCCCAGCTGCAGAGGCTGGAGCTAACTTGGCTGACACCAGGCCCTGCTGCGCTGTCAGGGAGCCCCAGAGACCTAGAGCAGGGGCCCTGTGTGCAAGCTTCAGGATTCTTAACCCTTAGGAGCCCTGCAGAACCAGGAGGCAAAAAGGGGAAGAAGGAGGGATTGAGGGAGGGAGTGTGCTGCGGGAGAGGGGTTGGAGCCAGCAGGTGAGGATTCGGAGTGGAAAGTGCAGATAGAGCGGAAAGCAGGGGCAGGGAGAAGGGAGAGAACATTAGGAAGAAAGGAGAGCAAAGAAAAAGCTGGATATCCAAGAAAAGGATTTGGGGGCAACACACTTCAGTTGAGCCAGCCTGACTTCCCATTTTATACAAATGGGGAAACTGAGGCTCAGAGAGGTCAAGAGACTCGTGCAAGGTCCGCCTCACAGATACCGAGTGGCCGAGCAGGAGTCTGCAGGCCTCAGTCTCCTTCCACTAAACCACAAACCTCTGAACAAGACTCAAGGAGGAAGGAGCACAAGAGGGGGCAGGGAGGCAGGGAGCCGGGAAAAGGGTCAAGTGCAAGGGAGAAGGTGCTATCATGCTACCTGACTTTCAGAGAGCAAGGGCAAAGGCTGGGGCAGGGCAGAGGACACTGGACTCCTCTCTGACCCCAGTCCTAATCAACCACAAGAGTCTCTTGGCTGTAGGGGATGGACTTCTCGTGCATCTGCTCGCCACCCTTCCCGGAGTTGGGGCCAGGCCCCTGGCTGTGACCGGAAGAGTAGCTGGCCGACTTCTCCCCGCTGCTGCTGTGGGAGGTGGCCCCGCACCTGCTCCGGCCGCAGCAGAGCATGGAGGTGCAGGCCTGGCGGAAGCGGGGGTCGAAGAAGGCATAGAGGAAGGGGTTGAGGCAGCTGTTGACGTAGCTAATGCAAGTGCAGTAGGGGAAGACGTTCATGAGGAAGATGTCGAAGTCGCAGGGCCAGTGCAGCAGGCTGCCCAGCATGTAGAGCGTCTTCACCAAGTGGTAGGGCATCCAGCAGAGCGCGAAGGTCACCACCAGCACCACGATGATGCTGAGCAGCCGGCGCCGCTTCCGCAGGCCCTCTATGCGCTCCTTGCGGAAGTGGCCGGCGATGGTCTGGGCGATGAAGAAGTAGCAGGTCAGCATGATGGTGAAGGGCACCACGAAGCCCACGGCGGTGGACGAGACCCCCAGGCCCACCTCCCAGACCCACTCCGAGCTGGAAGTGGCCACCATGGAGTAGTCCATGTAGCACTGCACCTTGGTGGTGTTCTCCAGGTCCCCGGTGGAGCGGAACACCATGACCGGCATGGCCAGGAGGGCGGCCAGCACCCACAGCACCGCCGTGGCCACGGCCCCGCTGACCCGCAGCCTCAGCCGAGCGTTGGCCACGGGCCTCACAATGGCCAGGTAGCGGTCGAAGCTGAGCCCGGTGAGGCAGAAGACGCTGGCGTACATGTTGACGAAGATAACGTAGCTGCTGAGCTTGCAAGCAAAGGTGCCAAAGGGCCAGTCGTAGTCCCGGTACGTGTAGGTGGCCCACAGCGGCAGGGTCACCACGAAAGTCAGGTCGGCCACGGCCAGGCTGGCGATGAAGATGTCAGCTGAGCGTCTCTTCTCGCGGCTGCTGCGAAACACAGTCCAGAGCACCAGGCCATTGCCCGTGGTGCCCAGGAGGAAGACCAGCAAGTAGATGGCAGGGATGAGGGCCCCCGAGGACTTCCAGTCCGTGTACTCGCACTCAGACTGGTTGTCTGCCCCATAGTAGTTGTCAAAATCACCAGCCTCCTCCATGCTGGGCAGTGGAGAGAAGACGGGCAGGGGGTCCCCGGGGTACCAGCTCCGTGGCTGTGGCACCAACTCAGCAAGTGCCCGGAGCTTCTGGCTTGAGCCTCACAGGGCAGGCGAGAAGGGCTGAGGGTGTCCAGAGCCCTTCCCAGCAAGCGGGAGGAGGTGCCTCCGGATCCTGGAGGATGCCTGCCCCCGCAGACTTCCCTCCACCCTCTCCTGCCTTGTCCTGGCCTCAGCTGAGACACTTCCTTGCGCCCTCCTGAGTCTCTGTCTCCTCCTTGTCTGGTCACTCCCTCCTCCCACCTCCAGACCAACCCCTCACTTGGGAGTCTTAAGATCTTTAAGTTACAGCCCACTTTTTTTTTTTTCTCTCCTTCTTCTCCCCGGGCAAGGGGACCAAATTGAGCCCTGCCTTGCTGGACAGAATATTATCTGAGGTTTGCAGCAGCCTGCTCTCTTCCTGGCCCCGCCTTCACCCTCTGGCTACCACCCCCCTTCTCCCCAGCCTCTATCCCTGGTTTCTTCTGGCCTTTGGAGCACGCCCTCCCCAGTCCTCCCCACCCTCTCACTTTCACCCCCTCCCACCCCCTCTAAATGGGGCAAATTATGCAGATTGAAATCCAGCCTGAGCTGGAGCCCGGACGGGTGGGGGGCTAGGAGGGTGTGAGATTTCACAGGATGCTCTGAGCATCTGGCAAGCCCTCCTGGCAGGCTGGTCTGGCCCCTCGGGTCTGGCCCCCACCCTCCCCTCCTGCCCTCCCAGCCCACCCCCCGCCCCCAGACCAGACTTCACTCTACCCTTCACAGTCATACTCCTTTACTCCTCCATTTTGACCCTCTCTCTGGGAACTTTTATGGTTTACAGGCACGGTTAAGGGGATTTCTCTAGAATTCATAAGCGGTTGGCAGACTGCAGTTTGCAGATGGCCTAGGAAGTTTTAGAGGGTTGAGGACAAAGTCCCAGGAAAAAGAAACCCCAGACAAAAGTCACTAAATCAAGTCATTAAATCTGTGGTGAAACTGAGGCCTAACGAGGCAAATGTCTTGCTCAAAGTCACAGGATGAATCTCGTTACAGTTCTGTTGTTTGCTTTTCTTCTTCTCCAAGCTTGCCAAATAGTAGGTGCTTGCCAGATAGTAGGTGATCACTAAATGATTGAGTGAGTAAAGGGATGGATGAACTGGGGAGCAAGTGAAAAGAACGGGCCGTATGCGCTAAGAACCTAGGCACATTTCAGTCTTTGGGGACCATGTCTCTAGGAGACCATGTAGCCAGGGGAGGAGGCAGAGAAAGGGGCGGCCCTGGGGGGCTGCTGTGGGCACAGTCCCACACAAACTCACTTTGCCCGGTCTGCTCATCTTTCCAGAACCTCTGGGCATAAAAGAGAGAAGGATGCACAAGACATGGTTTTTAAATATACCCCCCCAACAGTGGAGGAGTCCATCTAAGGTTGGGCAGGGATAATAAGATGGGACAAAATCAGGACACAAGTCATGGCCCCATCCAAAGCAAAGGGCTTATAAAACCAGAATCCCTCATCTCAAAGGAGGGTTGGTCAGAAAACCTTCTGCAGGAATCTTAAAGCAGGGTCCCCAAACTCAAATACCCACAAGGACCTGGTTAAGAATGTTCTACATTTTATATGCACTTATTATCCCTTCTAATCGGCACAGTGACTTTAGGAAGTAGGCACTCTTACTAATCTCCACTTAATAAGGAAGCGAAGGCACGAAGGCATGGGGAAGTGAAGTAATTTGGCCAGGGTCACTCAGCTAGTAATTGTCAGAGACAGAATTCGAAGGCTTGAGCACATGGGCACACCCTCTAAGTTCCCCTCCCAAAAAAAAAAGAAAGAAAAGAAAAAGAAAACCCCAACGCTTTTAGATTAGGGGTTTGTGATCTGCTGAGCATTATAGAAATGTAGGATAGCACTAGGGTACCTGTAATTTACTCTAAAATAAGCTCTCTTGAGTAAAATTTTTAAAAGATTGATGAAACGATCCGAAGGGGGTACGTGCACCCCAATGTTTATAGCAGCAATGTCCACAATAGCCAAACTGTGGAAAGAGCCAAGATGTCCATCGACAGATGAATGGATAAAGAAGATGTGGTATATTGGGGCACCTGGGTGGCTCAGTAGGTTAAGCGGCTGCCTTCAGCTCAGGTCATGATCCCGGGGTCCTGGGATTGAGCCTCGCATCAGACTCCCTGCTCAGCGGAGAGCCTGCTTCTCCCTCTCCCTCTGCCTGCCTCTCTGCCTACTTGTGCTCTCTATCTCTCTGTCAAATAAATAAGTAAAATCTTTTAAAAAAAAAAAAAGATGTGGTATATATATACACACACACACACAATGGAATATCATGCAGCCATCAAAAAAACCAAATCTTGCCATTTGCAATGACATGGATGGAACTAGAAGGTATTATGCTAAGCGAAATAAGTCAATCAGAGAAAGACAAGTATTATATGATCTTACTGATATGAGGAATTTGAGAAACAAGGCAGAGGATCATAGGGGAAGGGAGGGAAAAATGAAACAAGATGAAACCAGAGAGGGAGACAAACCATACGAGATTCTTAATCTCAGGAAACAAACTGAGGGTTGCTGGAGTGGGGGGGGTGGGAGGGATGGGGTGACTGGGTGATAGACATTGGGGAGCGTATGTGCCATGGTGAGCGCTGTGAATTGTGTAAGACTGTTGAATCACAGATCTGTACCTCTGAAACAAATAATACATTATATGTTTTAAAAAAAAGGAAGAAGAAGAAGATAGCAGGAAGGGAGAAATGAAGGGGGGGATATCAGAGGGGGAGACAAACCATGAGAGACTATGGACTCTGAGAAACAAACTGAGGGTTCTAGAGGGGAGGGGGGTGGGGGGATAGGTTAGCCTGGTGATGGGCATTAAAAAGGGCACGTTCTGCGTAGGAGCACTGGGTGTTACACGCAAACAATGCATCATGGAACACTACATCAAAAACTAATAATGTAATGTATGGTGACTAACATAACATAATAAAATAAAACTAATTAAAAAAAGGATTGACTAAAATACTTCAGAGATCCTCCCCACTCTCCCACTCCCCTGAGTGAACAGGTTATGAGAACCCGGGCCAGGCAATAGTCTGTACCCTTAGGGTTGGCACCACAGCTTGATCCAGAAACTGCCCTGTGGGCGTCCATTCCCAAAGAGGATTCCTGGTCACCTGAGGCCCAGGAAAGCTGACCAGGACCCGGGCCTCTGGAATCTTGGCAGTCTGCAAAATGGTGGTCAGGACACCCAGTAGGACCCAGAACAGGAGCTTCATCGACCTTCTAGTACACAGGATAGGAGCTGTTTGGGGGCCTGCTTGCTCCCACATGTTTCTCTAATAGAAGTCTGTGCCCGTGGCAGAGTGGCTTTCATTAATCTGACAGTGAGCCGTGTCAGATTGCCTCAACCTTGACCTGTCAAAGGGGACCTGAGAGGTGTGCAGGAACCAGTCTGACTCGGGTCAGGTCATAACTGATAGCAGCTGTTATGAACTAAATTGACTGCTCAGAACCTTCCAGGATAAAGGTCAAGTGCAAGACCCCCAGGTAATCCAGATCTTCTCTGGTTCTCCCAGAAGGATGTAGGCACCAGGGCCCTTTGCAGCTAGGAATGTAGAAGGGGAGCCAGTGACCTTGGAGTGTTCCCAAAATCAGGTCTCTCCCCCCAGCTGTTCCTACTTGGGTCCTGAGCCAGTTAGAGACCCCGTGGGAGAGGCTATGGGCCCATCTCTTTAGTCCTCTGGCTGCCAGGCTCTCTGCCTCCAAGGGGAGAAGGAGCAGTTAATCTCACCAGAGAAACCAGACTAGTTGAAATGGGAGGGAACTGGGGGCCAAGACTGGAAATCCAGCCCTACTGATTAGGGCTGGACTGGGTGAGGTGCGGGTAAGATCTGACCTCCGGCCCAAAGCCAGCTGGAACCCGGTGGCCCGCGTGCCCCCAGCAATGGCAGCCTGAAATGAGCAGAATCAGCCAGCCCTACTCCTCACCCGGCCTGGCACCCCGGATCCCCATCCATCCAACACAGAGGATGGAAGTTTAGTAAGGAGGACCCGTAGCTGAAGCCTGATCTATGTGCCCCCAGGGCTCCGAAGGAACTCCTCGCCAGACAGAGCACACCTGGGCAGACACCTGTTTTCATTTTGGTACCCCTCCCCCCCCCCCACCAAGCTGGAGCCTGGTAAATGCCTGTTGAATTAAAGCGGTAGGAATGCACTCAGGAGAAGACGGGAAAGGCTGGGTCTTCACTCCAGGACCGCGCTACTGACTTCACAAGGGCACCTCTTTTGCTACATTGATCCAGAATTATCGGCCCTGAGCCATCTGGCAAGCCAGCACCCAGGGCGGGGCTGTTGGCCAGTGTCCCCGGGCTGGCCTGCCCTGGACAGGCTGACTGGTTTCCCTGGGGATTTCGCTCTCTCTCCCGGGAAATTTCTTCAGGGTATTGTGAGGAACCTGGCATGGTCAGCTCCTGGCAGAACAGCGCCCCAGACCTGCTGTGGGTCCCTTTGAGGACAGCCCAGACTGCTGGGGGACCTCTGGAGTCAGTGATTCAATAGCCCTCACCCACCCCAGCCCTGGGTTTGCTCCTGGCCTAGAAGCGAGACTGGCTTGGCCCCATGCCCGTGACTGTGTGTGTGTGGGTGTGTGTGTGTGTGTGTGTGTGTGTGTGTGGCTGTGTGCACCCAGGGGCAGGGCTTGCGTGTGCTGTGGGGTACGAGTGTGCACTGGGTGCGTGCATGCTTTCGCAAGCCAGTGTGTGCTGGGGTCAGGGACTTGGGTAAGCCTCCTCCTGGCAGGGACAGGAAAGGGTGGTTAATTGGATCTCTCTAAGGGCTTGGGGTGAGAGAGAAAGCCCAAAGCCTCTAGGTCTGCAAGGGCCTGCCCAGACCTTGCCCCAGGCTCTGGGTGGGGGACATCAAAGTGCAGGCTGTCTTTCTCTGCCCCTTGCTGACTTCTCACCTCCTCCCCCAGCCCCTCTCCAGCCCCCTCACTTCACAGGTCTGCTTTGAACTCACCCAGGGCCAAGGGGTCCTTTTCTCCCCTTCCCAAGAGAAAGCACAGCTGTGTCCTGAACAGCTGGTGGTGTTATCTGAGGGGAAGGGGAGGGAAGGACGGGGTTGGGGATGAAACCAGGCTGCCCAGCCCACTCAGGGATTCCTCTCCCCTTCCTTCAGCCACACAACACCGCCTTCCCCAGGCCAGCCCTGCGCACACTCACACACACACACGCACACACACTCACAAGCCCTACCTTAGTAGCTTATCTGAGCAAAACCAAATGGCCAGCTGCCTCTGACAATTAAGGCAGACCCCCCTCAGCCCCTCAGCAGCCCCTTCCTCTCCCCTGGCCATTTGGTGCTACTTCAAATTCCCAGGCTCATTCCAAACACCAAGGACACCCAGGGCTCTGGGGACAGTGAAT